CAGACTTTCCTCCCTTCAGAAGTGACGGCCTGAGGGTGAAGGTGCTCGTCTGCATTTTCAAGTGAAACACATTTGAATGACTGTGGAAATCATTCAACACTTTAAATGAAAAAAGGAAATAATATTTCCTGTTCAGGATTATCTTTTTTTTTTTAATTTTAGAAATAAAAGGAGGAAAATATTAACAGACCGACAACATTCTACCACTCTGTTTGTAACTCTGTAATGTCTGTACTGATCCTATGCTATTTTGTAAACTGTTCAGGATTATCTTAAGCAAGCTAAAATACATACATACGCACTCATTCCCCAAATTGTAAACAGTGGTAGCTTTTGGGGGGCAGAAACATTACCAATCTTTTCCTTTTCTTAGTCTTTTTTGTTTTCATATTGTTGTGTTTTGGGGGAGATGGTTAGAGTCTACTTGGTTTTTCTTAACTTCTTTATGATCTAGGATTGTACACTTTCCCCTTCATTGTCCTGTACAGATGTTGTGAGAATGACTAGTGCTCTCAGAGGAAAGATATTTCATTAGAATAAATAGGTCTGTGGTGGAAATAAAGGCACCTGACACAGCCAAGGGAAAGGCTTGGGAACTGTATTCGCAGGAGCAGCAATCTCATTAGGGTTCACAAAATCAAAAGCAGGTATCGTGATCCTGGAGTTTTAACTTTTTCCAGCCAATATTCTTATCCCAAAGGCATATATACAATCATGGTAAACAATGCTAGTGAAATGCTAGTATAAATAAGGATGTAAATGCACATAAACAAGAAAGACAAAAGACAGTTTCAAGCAGAATTCTTTCCTATGAGCAAAATAAACTGATTCTTAATATCTAGGCTCATGTAGTTCTATTCCTTTCCTCCCCATTCCTATGGATTTATATGCACATGTGGAAAAGAAAACAAATAGAAAGCAAGACTTAAGAATGTGACTTCACAACTCTGCTACAGAGTGTCCCTGGGTGACACTGACCCTTCTCTCCCCATATGCACAGGAGTGTTCACATGGAGGAGGTTTAGTACGTTCTGCTCCTTACAGTTTCTTCCTCTAACTCTCTAACTATAGGTCTGAGCTTTCCAGGGGCTGTGACTGGACATCTGGACATTTTGGACTGCAGCTCCCATCTTTGAGTCTGCTGGAAAACATGTCCATTTCTGTCCCTAAAGTGTTCTTGGACCTCTTCCTGTTCACTGAGGCAGATTCTGTAACCCAGAGCTTTTCCAGCACATGTGTTCCTGTTTGATGCTCCTGCAGGATATGGCATGGGGACCTGGAAGTGCCAGCAAAAAGGGCCAAGGTCTCCAAATTATTTTAGCTCATGGTACAAATATCCCCAAATACAATCATAATTCTCAGACATCCTCATGGTCAATCAGTTTTGTTGGCTTCTATCACATTACTGTCGCACAGAAAAAGCATCCTGATTTCCAAGCCCTTGTCTTCCCAAAGTTAGGGATTCTTGAAGAAGACCTCTCCTGACTGTCCAATTCACACGGCATCCCCTCTCTGTTCTCCCTGAACACCTGTCACCGACTGCCCACTGCTTATCAAGGTCTGGCTGCCTGGGTTCTTTGAGGATTTGCTTTGTCATATATTTGGCCTTAGCCACAAGTACTCACATTTGGATCATTAAAAGCAATACAAAACAGCAACAACAAAGCCAGGGAAGCATGGAAAAGAATGAAAAAAAGCACCACTTATGTTTCTGACATTGAGAGAAAGCCAGTGTTTGTAATTATGGAGAATGGGTATACATTTATTTTAAGGTAGTTAAGATAATCCTAAAATAGACTGATGTAAAATTTTGTTTCATATTTTTCACTTAACATGTCATGAACATTTCCTCAGTCATGAATAATATTGGCAAACTTTTTTTTTTCAGTACTGAAGATTGAACTCAGAATATTCACACTGAGCTACATTCCCAGCTCCTTTAGTATTTTATTTTGAGGCAGGGTCAGTCTCATTAAGTTGCTGTTTCCTAAGATTGGTTCCAAATTGGAACCTTCCTGCCTCTGCCTCCCAGAATGCTATGATTAGAGGCATGTACCGCCATCCCTGGCTGACAATATTATTTCAATGCATAGATAGTAGTTCATTTTCCTAGATCTACTGTACAGTGTGCAGCTCTCTGTTCAACATTAGGAGACAATCTGGATATGAATTTCCTGATGGTGCATCAATATTGGTAGCCATAGAGGACAGTGTGAAAGTAGGCATGAATTCTCAGCACTTATTACATGCAACTGCCTTTATTATGATGATTTTGATGCAGTTGCAGACAGGACAGCGAGATAGGGTCAGTGGTCCCTGGGGCAGAGATGATCACCATGGAATGGAGGTTATGTCTTAGACATGGGCACCTCGTGCTACTCACAGCCAAGGGCAGCCTCAAGGGTGCGCTTTCAGCCCCTTGGTGGCACTTTGGCCTTTTCAAGTTGAAGTCCATCTGTGAGAAGCTCAAAAGCCCAGAAGCCTTGACCAGTCCTGGCTCTGGGCTTCTTACTACATAGGTAGAGTTGAAAATCTGAGTTCCCCTGACTGTGGGGGTCAGGCTACAATTCCATCTTTTGACTCTGTGATCATGGGAACTCTGAACTCTTTGCCTTGGTGTCACCCGGCATATCTCAGATAACTGCCTTGTGCTCCATCAACCTTTCAGCAGTGTTCTTCATGGCAGGGGGGAGGTTCCATTTGTCAGAACATCACAGCACAGAGAAGGGACTGGAAAATGAACCATGGGACACTAACAGAATTAGAAAGCTGAGGGCCATGACAATGGGAAGGAACAATGTAAAATGGGGCCATGGAGGAAAATGACCAAGAAAAGAACAAGAAAGGAGCAGAAACAGGCTGAATTCAGAGACTGCATCCCACCCCTCACTTCCTCCAGCATTTCATCTGAGTGGTATCTTTTATGTATGTATTCTTTAATACATTGTCTCAGTGAAACTCTCCTAACTACCAAACAATTCTTTCTCTTTTGAGTATCAAACATGAACAAGGAAAACTAGCCAGAACAAATAATTTAGCAATACCCCATACGTGATTTGTATGGAGCCTTCTGAAATTAGTATGTGAAATAACTTACGTTTCATGATGTAAATGACGTCACTCTCTAAGCACCATGGGAATTGAGAGCAGGAATTCACACTGGATCCCACTGGTCACATCAGGGCTATTAGCACATCCTTCCTGTGCCTGACCAATCTTTCCTGTGTCTGGATCAGTCCTTCCCATAGAGGTAGGGACACTGGTTCCATGCCAGTCTCTCATTCCAAACCTGCTGTGCTTATTATGGTTGTTATTCTTCACCTATGATTTTGGCATTGACTGAAAATTTCTGTGTTTATATCTTCGTTGCTTTTCTCATTGTTGAGGAAAAGTACCCAACACCTACAAATTAAAGGAGAAAAGTTTTGTTTCAGCTTAAGTGTCTAGAGGCTTCAGTCTATAGTCAGCTGCCTCTAAGGCAGAGTAGCATGGCAGAGGGTATCACACAGGAGTAATAGTCCATAGTGTTGCAGTCAGGAAGCAAAAAGCAGCAGCAAGCAGCAGCAGCAGCAGCAGCAGCAGCAGCAGCAGCAGCAGCACCAGCACCAGCACCAGCACCAGCACCAGCACCAGCACCAGCAGCAAACCTTCCATTTCCTTTTTATTACATCCAGGCCATAAAACCTTTTGGGTCGTGCCTCCCACACCCAAGGTCAGTCTTCCCATTACGAACACCCAGAACTATATAAAAAAAAAATCAGTGGACTAATACAGTGTCACACACCTTTAATCCCAGTATCATACACGTTTGATCCAGCTTCCTATGAAAAGCTCCACCTACAAGTGCATAAGGCTTTGGAAGGATGTCTAGATACAAACTGTAGCAGTTTACTACAGTTTTTTCATTCTTTGGGCTAATCCCTCTACATGAATTCCTTATTTTCTTTATCATTAATGATTTTGTGGAAACAAAGAAAATATCTTTACTACACTTGACCTTAGCCAAAAGACCGAGAAGTGATAGAGAAAATATCTTTAAATGGAGAACAAATGCCAGGTTTTGTTTTTAAAAATTTAATATTTTATTTTAATGTTTGAGGTACTTCCAAATGCAGAACGTATTTGAATTAATGGTAAACTGGAGTAAGAATGCACTGGAATTTCTTAAAAGTACTAAATGAAGAATTTTGTGATTTTTTTAATCCAACTTTGTATTTTGGCATTTAGATCAAAATGTAAGAAACTGTATTTCTAGGAAACATAAAAAGGTCATCCATAATTATTAACTTTATCAGTAATTTAGTATACTTAGGTCAAAGTACAAAAAATTTGTGTTTCTAGAAAATATATGAAGATAATCTGCCGTTATTAACTTTATCAGTAACTTGTTTCCTAACACTATTAATTATGGATGTGTTTGGCAATTCTGTTTATTTGTCTGTAGCAAATATCACAATTTTCTTGAGAACTGTGAATATTGTTCAGTGCTTCTAACTTTTTTGAGTTAATTGAGAGCTTGAAGGAAGAGGATCATAAGTTTTACCCCAGCAACTTAACAGCTTAACAAGACCCTGTCTCAAAATTTAAAAAAAATTTAACTAATACAAAGATTGTGGTGTAGTGTTAGCTAGGTTGCTGTCATTTGTTTGTGTGCTTAATTTGTCCTTATTTATGTGGGTCATGGAGTAATCTCTGTTAAGTGTTTCAGTTCAATTTCTTCATCCACAGAGGCTTTTCAAGGCTACAAAACAGAGACATTGTAAAAGCTCAGAGATGTTATAAACAACTCTAAAAAATAGAGCCACCAGAAATATTGTACAAGAAAAAGCTTTAAAAACTCCCCAACATCTTTTTCTTCTCTCCCAAGTTATTTCCCTTAGAGCATCCCTGCTCAGGCCCTGACTCACCTGCCCTCCCCTCCTATGGCCTGCAGGGACCCTGCTACCTGTCTGCATCCTCCCTTGGTTGTGACCCTGCTCTTCTCTCTCGCCCATCCTCAGAGCCCGGCATCTGCACGGTGTTTGGAGACCCTCACTACAACACTTTTGACGGCCGGACCTTTAACTTTCAGGGCACGTGTCAGTATGTGTTGACCAGAGACTGCGCCTCCCCTGCCTCACCCTTCCAGGTGCTGGTGAAGAACGATGCCCGGCGGACACGCTCCTTCTCCTGGACCAAGTCGGTGCAGCTGGTCCTGGGCTCGAGCATCATTAGTTTGGAGCAGCACTTGGCTGTGCGCTGGAATGGTTCCCGCGTGGCACTCCCCTGCCGAGGGCCACACTTCCATGTGGACCTGGAGGGCTACCTGCTGAAGGTGACTACTCAAGCAGGTGGGGCCCCACCTTGAGCATCTGCTCCCCCTGTTCCTGCAGGGCTGTCTCCTCCAAGGCATCTGAAAATGCCACCAAGAACCCAGAGACACTACATGGAGACTGGCAACTGGACATTTGGCACAGTGACCTTGCAGTCTTCACACACCCAGAACCTCACTGTCCTCATTCTAGAAACAGTAGTTGGGCTCATTGAATTACCACACCTGGGCCACTGATGTCCAGCTTGGAGTTGTCAGGGTCTCTTTTAGCTCAGGTAGTTATGTGCATTTTCACATCGGGGAGAGGGGACAGGGTTTCCTTGTTAATATCTGCCCCCAAAATGTGGGGAATCCTCAAAAGCAAATGGCTTAGGGTTGGTGGTGTTCAAAAGAAACACAAAAATTGGGTATGGTGTTGCTCTCCTGTAATACCAGCACTCTGTGAAGCTTAGGTAGGTGGACTGCAAGTTTGACTCCAGCCTGGACAATTTAGGGCCTTAAAATAAAAAAAAAAAAAAGAAAAATGGCCTGGGTTCATAGCTCACCGCAAAAGCCTTGTATTCAGTCACTAGTATGTGGGCAGGAAGGAAAGAAACAGAAATATCCACAGCAGAAGGACTTGTTCTTGTGGGCCCTGTGTGCACTGGGTCACCTGATCCCTCTCAACTGTCCTGTGCTAAGGAGAACGAGGCTTCCATGTTTGGGTGTGCAGATGGGGGAACAGGAAAAACATGTGACCAGCAGTCCCATCCACCCTTATTCTGAGGAAAGAAACCACCACCCTCATGGCTGGAACCACTGTCTTTTGCTGAGGACGCTGAAGCTGGCTTTCAAAGTGCAACCGTCCACACCTTTGGGCACACGGAACTGTTGGCAAAGACCTCTCTAGCACCGATGCTGCACCCTTCATTTCCACCGCAGATGCCCCCGGCCAGTTTTTCCTTGGTTGTTGGGGTTCCTTGGGCTCAAGTGTTTGTTAAAATTAGAGGCACAACCCTGTTCCTGGTCAGCCCCGGAGACCAAGTCCTGCTCATCTTTACTCTGCATGACACCATGTTTTGGTTCTGTGTGAGCTGCCTGTGGTCCACCCTGTTGTTTGCTGGCTGGATATTTAGCTGTGTGTGCTGCTGGATGCTGTCTCTTTAACCATCGTGATACCATAAGGAAACCAACCTACTAACTGCTTTCTACCAATGAGACTTTAGCAGTGTGAAAGCATCGAGTTCTAATTTCTTCAGGCAACATAGTCACAAAGGGAAGCCTTTGATAGAGTAGGCACTCTTGAGGGTGCTTGAGGCTGTTCCTGCTCCCAGAACCCTGCTTAATGTTTCAGTTCAGGCCAAAATATATTTTGATAAATTGGTTTGACTCCTTGGTGTGCCCACTTAGTAAACAAAGGCAGGAAGCCAAGGTGCAGCCCTGGGAGTTTTAGTTAGGGAGCTCATCAGCGTTTCAGTCTGACAATGGAAAGCGTTAACGTATTCAGACTTTCAGCAAAGGGGAACAATCTCCATCCTTCATGTTGCAGATATGAGGAGCTCTAGAGAGACTCTAGAGGGATTAGACCTGCTCAGAAGATTCAGTCACCCCTGCTAATGTCCAAAGGACACACACTCTGCAAATGTAGACCCTGCCTCATTCTGTTAAAGAGGCCAGGCTTTCTGGCTCCTTGTAAAATGTGCCAAGATGGCCCCGTGTACAGCAGTAATGGAAAGGGCCTTGTCTACCTGTTTGCAAGGACACCGTGGACATACTGACAAAGTGGATTCTACCATGACAGAAATTATTAGTCAGCCGCAACCCAGTCCTGTGAGACATCCTGGGTCCATCAAGATTACTAACAGCCCTTGAGGTTTGATGCTGTTCTACCCACAGCTGGCAAAGCCTCATGGATTAAACCTCTCCTTTGTAAGGATGCCATGTTTTAAAAATGAGCAAAAGAGCAAAGCTGCTAAGAAAATAATAATGGACCTCAAAGACTTTAATTAGATTAGTGAATTTAACCATTCTAGGCCTAGAACTCAAGTGTTATAATTTCTTTTTCTACCTCTTTTTCTACAATATAAATAATTTATATGCTACCCATCACAAACAGCTGAACGATTTTCTCCTGCACACAAGTCATATAGCCTTCTGCTTCCTAAGAGAAGATTCATTCCTCTGGTTCTATGCTTGCTCTGTGCCCATCCTTTGAATGGAACAATTTGATTTCCAGATGATTGTGTTTCTACCCTAGTTTGGAAGTCTCAGTTTAAATTACTCCACAGGGTTATCTTCTTCATAATCACCTACTGATTGTCTTTTTAAAGCATCACAGCATTTCCTCGAGTGTTTTTCCTCAATAGATTCCTTGTTTTGTTTCATGAGCTTATGTGATCAAAAAGGGCTGTCCTCAAAATAGTGGCTTCAAAGCAGCCTGTAGCCGGAGGACAGAAGGTAGAGGAAAGACTTTTTGCTGGTGGTTGATCGACTCATCCTGCAGGATGGAATCACTTGGCAGTCATGCACGTCGTCCTCAAGTTAGTGTGGAATTAGGCCCTGCTGCTTATCCCTCAACAACTGGCTGGGGACAAGGGGTTAGCACTGAGCATCCCACCACATGCTGGCCTCAGCTCTCACCAATTAGCAGATTATTTAATAAACACTTCCTCTTTGTAGTCTGTGCATCTCATTAACTCTAGCTGCAAATCTTACATCAGATAACCCAAAAGCATTAATTTATGAACAAAGTGGCTTTTAATTTTAGTTTTGGTGGAAGAATATAGTAGAACCCAGAGAACATACCTTCCCCTCACTGTGATGTGAAATCTAATTGGGAACACTACCCACTTTTATATATCACTGAGGTACACCTTCAGATTCTTTGCTTCCTCTCCCCTTCAAGTGGGCAGCACCAAAACTATCAGTAATGAGAAAACAAAGCAATGTGAAGCAAACAACAACATTCACACAATATAAGAACAGGTACACAAACACCAGCAACATCCTCCCAGAGTAGTAGTATTCAGCAACATTTGCAGGGTGAAGAACAAGTTGGCAAAACACTGATAGAGAGGGTAAATGGGAAGGCTTTTTCTAAAGTGAAAGGAATATGGCTCCTGCTCACATCTGCTAGTGGAGCATATGCTTCAGCTTTAGCTTTCCACCTCTGCCAGTTGTTTCTACCCAGTTTCGCATGCTGACAATCGAAAAACAGTCCAGCTGCAGAAAGAACTGCTGAACCCCTCAAACATTTCCATAATGTTTCCCTCTCATAAGGTGCAGGTCTAAAATATCATTTGGAAGAGAAAGTTCCTCAGTTACAACTTAGTAGATTGATTGATGGATTGATTTTTGCCTTCATGACTATAACCTGCTTTGCATGGATTTTACAGTTGGATGGGGTAAAAGTATTCACACAGACACATGTATAGATGATACAGCAAGAGGCAAAGGCACTGGGGTAGACATCTCTCTGCTATATGAAGCCCTCATCAGTCAGTGAAAATTCTCTTTGTGTAATAATAACAAAGGAGAAAGGAGAAATGAGAGTGAATTTCACATTATTCTATTATTCTGAGGATGATGTGTTATGATGAGATGTTACAGGTTTTGAGAAAAGTTTGTTGAAGATATAGTGGGTCTGCCTCTTCTCAGGCTCATGTGGACCACTGGTCCATGTGAAGAAAGGATTCAGCGATCGGTTTATTCCCCGTGAATTGCATTCCCCATGAACTCAGAGGCCCAAAAGCTTACATTTATTATGTCAGTGTCAGTTATGATATAGGAGCTCCTTTGGGTGTAAATTCTCAACTATTTGTGGCACTTGGTAAAACAATATTTGCCTACTGTCTAGGAAAGAGATTTGTGGTTTGGAAAATATTGCAACATGGGAAATCTTTGGTATTACGATCTAAAAGTAGGATCTTGTAGATGCCTGGCTACAGGCTCACGAGGCCAGGTTTCCTCTATACCTTGGAAAGCATATTACAAACCAGTTTACAGTTTGCTTGTCTCCTTTCAAAGAGTCTCAGTGTCTTAACCAGCATGAAATTCATGATTATTTTGGTTTTGAAGATTGGATGCATCATGAATTGAAGATTGAAGATTGGATGCATCAACATTACAGGGGTCATTTATTCCATACCGTGTGCTGGATGATGTGTTAGATGGTGGGTGGGAGGAAATGGAAGCCATTGTACATTTAAGTTGTGGTTGTCAGAGCTGACACCATGCTCTCACAGAGACCTGCAGGGCTCAGCCCAGTGCAGACATTTTAGTACTCTGGTCCCTTTCTCCTTACTCGGCTTCATTACTGTCTTCAGCTAATGACTCCCAAAAGACACTTTCCTCTGAATTTTTTTATTCTTTCTTTCCAAATCTATTTAATTGCTTTTCTTCCAACCAAGAAATCGTCTCTGCTGTTTACCTTAGATTTAGATTCCTTTGGCTCCTTCTATTTACAGGGACTTCCTTGTATGTTTTTCTGCTTCTTTCTTGAAAAACCCAGTTTTAAGCCATGGGTTTCCCTTGTAATGCCCACCCTGAATTAACTCTGTCTCTTGCAGTTGTGTGACCTCACAGCAAGGCTATGTAGTTAAAATTTTGTCCCCTCAGACTGGTTCAGACTTGGGGAGAGTCGGCTTGGAGTCTCACCTCTGGGTTCTGCTCCCTGATGTTAAATCACTCTGGTGTCCTTGCCTTATGCCAGTCATTTTCCGACTAGATCCATCGTTTTTTTCTCACACTGGCCCTCTCTCTCCTCCCATTCCCCTCCCCTCCACTTCTCCAACCTTTAATTCTCCTGTCCCACTGTGGCCTCATCCCCAACTTCTGAACATTTTCTCATTAGCTAAATCTTGGTCTTTTAGGAGCAAGGACAGAAAAAGCCTTCTAGGAGAAGACATTTTTCTTCTTCAAAAGGCTCAGGAAGAAAAAAATTCTCAGGAACTCCAAAGTGTAAGATTTAAAAATCAGAAGCAGGCAAAGACTTATATTAAAAGGAACTTGCTCTGTGGTTGTCCCTCAGAAGACAGTGACAGTGGCTAAGGAGAAGTTCCAGGGCAGGCAGGCACAATGGTCTGCTGTGGGTGTCCCCTGGCATTCATTCACCGTGACTGCTTTGCACACACTGGGTGCTTCTCAGACATCCCGGGCCAGAGTGTCTGGAGGAACATTCATGTGTTCAGACCAGCCCTCCTGCACTTTAAAAGTCAGTTCAGCAAGCCAAAAAGGGGCTCTGTTCCCTCCTTTCAGGAGCAAAGAGAGTTTCCTTGATGACCAAGGCAGAACTGGCCTGACAATGGGCACTAGTGGAATTCTGCCCATGGCCTGGTGCCTCTAACCTGTCTCAGGAGAGCACCAGGAATGGGAAGAGGAAGTTTCCCCAGCAACTCAACCCCAGGAAACCTGGGTCTGTGGTCTGTGTCTCAAGAATGACTCTAAAATCACAAAGGAGCAAATGTGTCCATTTATATCAGTGTTGTCCTTTGTGGATGATGTGTTCAGAAGCCTTATTCATATTTTTTTTCCCGGTACTGGGGATTGAACTCATGACCTTGCACTTGCTGGGCAGGCACTGTGCCGCTGAGCTAAATCCACAGCCCCCTTATTCATATATTTATAGATTTTATATTCTTAGTATAGCAGATAATTTTAAAATTTTCCCTTGTCATTTGGAGGAATAATTACATGAGAAATTTTCGAATAAAAAACAAAAGTGACATTAAAGAACTGTCATCTTTCCGTCACATTAGTCATTGGATAAATGAAGGCACAGTTTGGACTAACTCAAATACTTTAAGAAAGGGCAAAAATATAAACCCTAGAATAGCATGGTATAAGAATATTTCTCTAAAAAGATCAAAATAGGAGTATATAAGATATTATAATGACAAATTTGTACAGTTTAAAAATCCTAAGCCCAAAAGTGATGATTTGTGAAATTTATAGTGTCCAAAGTAATGAGATTAAAAGATAGCTGAGAATTTGGCTGTGTTCTAGTTAGAGGAGGTGGTCACATGTAGTGTGTGAAGATGTGCACTGTGGGGACTGTCAGAAGTTCAGAAGTGCTTGATCTCCTTTCCTCTCTTCTCTAGGCTTAGAAATATCCTGGGACGGAGACAGCTTTGTAGAGGTCATGGCTGCCCCTCATCTCAAGGGCAAGCTGTGCGGTCTGTGTGGCAACTACAATGGGCATAAACGAGATGACTTAATCGGTGGAGATGGGAACTTCAAGTTCGATGTGGATGACTTTGCCGAGTCTTGGAGGGTGGAGTCCAACGAGTTCTGCAACCGACCGCGGAGTAGACCAGTGCCGGAGCTGTGCCAGGGGACAGTGAAGGTGAAGCTGCGAGCCCATCGAGAGTGCCAGAGGATCAAGTCCTGGGAGTTTCAGACCTGCCACTCCACGGTGGACTACGCCTCTTTTTACCGGTAACCACCGTGCTCTGGGGGATGAGTGGGTCACAGACCAAGGCTGGACTTGACCTGGGGACAGGACAGAGTGTACTGAGTCTCCTGGTGTATAAACAAGGCCCCGCAGTAAACATCCCCACTTCATTCTGTCTAGCTGCTCCTCTTGTCCTGACTGCACCCCACATCATGACCTCAGGTGGGAAACTCCAGGAAGTGTTTAAAGGTGGGCTTCTCTAGGCAATTCAGTGTTTTGGGGTGTGCATGTTTCCCGGGAAGCTGATGACATTCCAAAGGTTTTTCGAGGTTTTTCAGCTTGACTCTTAAGATTGAGGAAATCTTCCCAATTTCTGGCCTAAACCTCAAAGGTCTAGGAAAGAGTGGTTTGCTAAGGTAGACCCTCCAGGCACCCTGGCTACCTGCTGCTGTTTCAGTGAGCTCAGTTATTCCAGGCTGAGCAGGGACCCAGGTCAGCCTGCTGGTCTACCCCAGACCCAGCTGCATATGGAAAATGAGGAAGGAAGTGAGGAGTCCTTGGATTTTGGCCAACATGAGACTTCATTTCCAGAGTTGGAGGACTGTGGAAACAGGACTGAGGTGGGAGAAAGGGCTCGCAGTAAGAGAGTGATCTTTTCTAACTCAACTTAACCCCATTCCACTCAAAGCCACATGCCATGGAGGAGGCCTGGATCTGTGCTACGAGGTTGCGCTTGTGGTTGATGGATCTGACTTGGCTGTGCTTCTACTTACTGCGCAATCCTGTGACTTCAAGAGCTATGGCTGCTGAGAGCTGTAACCACAGTGGGTGTGGGGGAAACATGAGCTGAACGCAGCCCTGAAGGCCTTGTTTAAGTGATTTGCCTGTGCCTCTTCAAATTAGGAAACTCCTGTGGTCTGCAGCCACGAGAGGATATTTTTACTCTTTAATTGCCACCAGTTGATTTCCCCTAGCTCTCATTAAATGTGATCTTTCTTTTATTTGATCTTTGGACATAAAATATAAAGTTCTATAAAGGCAGCTCCAAGTGAGGTGGAGAAAGGAGTTTCCCTGTCATTGCAGATCCCTGAGCATGACTGTATCTGCCAGAGCATTTGGCTCCAAGTCATGCATGTAGCTCCTTCAAGCCATTTTCCTGGCATAATTTGAATTCTCGGCTTCCCTTCTTTGTCCTCCTGGTGCCACCTCCAGATTGGCCTTACTCATTCTCTGTTCCAGTTGAGAGATCTTTTAAAAATTTTATTATTAGTGTATGTTCACAATGCATACTAGTTCCATTTATGTTGGGGAATTGATACATATACAGGGAACACGTCTTGAACTTTTTCAGTCCCTTAATGTGAGACTGAGTTCAGTATATGAACAAGCCAGGCGTCATTTGGGATCTACATATTTTTCCTTGAACTTCACTAGGAAACAGTAGAGCACAGCAAGTAAGAGCTGTGTGGAATGGGCATGTAATCTGAGCACTTGGGAGGCTGAGGCAAGAGGACTGCAAATTCAAGACCAGCTGGGTAACACAGCAAGTTCAAGGGCAGCCTGGACCACACAGTGAGACCTTCTCTCAGAGCTTTCCAGTCTCCCAGGGCTCAACACCCAGCTAGAACACAGAGCCTTGAGCAAGTACCTAAGCACTCTGAACCTCAGTGAGCCTGTCTGTGAAGTGGGGATAACCAGGGACCGCCTTGCAGTGCTGTCTTTTAGTTCCTGTGAGGTTATTGTTGGCACCATCACTTCCTCCACTATCAATGAGCTGATCAAACAGAGCGAGGCTGCTTTGGGAAGCCCCCCAAATCTCTAGTGGAGATTTGGATTGGATTCTTCTCTGCTCGAAGCAGAATGGAAAAGCAGTGCCCAGGTTTTTACTCTTTCAAAAGTTTAAATGAGAACAAAACTGGAGAGCAAGCTGCAGAGATGAGCACTTGTATCTACGTTTCTATTTCTCCTGCCTTTGATGAACTAATCAGTGTAATGATTCCAGTATTACAACAAGAGTATGACGAGAGCCTTGGCTGAAGGAATGAGAATGTCTTTACCATTCATAAAAAAAGGGAATCAAATATTCCTGTGCCCTTTGATCCCCTTCTGCCCTTCACACAGTGGCA